CAAAACCGCCACAAAGAGATTGAATTTTCTTGCGCTCAAAACCAGCGTTTACAACATATACGCTGCAAACGGTTTTTGGCGACCGTAGATCCGGCGGTTATTAACGACGCCGGTAATTCAATTGGTGGCGGTTTTTACCCGCCAGAAACTGCCAAAATAATCGCCACAAATCACACATTTTTTTGTAGTGTACTTTGATCAAGATTATATAATTGACATGAGTGACATAGTTTAATCAACTTGTTTAGAGTTTAAAATTTTAATATTAAATATGGAATAAATTATGTTCCACAAAAATATTTATATTTATATGAATATCCACAGTCCCTTAAAAAAGTAGATATTGCTTTCGATCATAAATATTTCGATGATTAAAATAAATTTTAGGTTTCCTTGTTGTTGATCTTAGTTAATTTCACTGACATGATCTATATTTTGCAGCTTACTGTGTTGTGGCAGTGGAGTCTGTTGGTAGACAGATTACAATGGCCTTTCTTGAACGTATCAAGGAGGATTTTACTAAAAGATATGGGGGAGGAAAGGCTACAACAGCAGTTGCTAAAAGTCTTAACAAAGAATTTGGGTACTCGTGCTTACCTTGTTATATAAAATAGGATTTAATGCTTACACTTATGGATAAATAGATTCGTGTGATTTAATAAAAAGACGAAAACAAATAGTGAAAAATCAGTTAAGGATATCTATTAAAAAATTGAATTTCAATTATTTATAGAAATATATCAGTTATTAGAACTTGATAAATGAAAAATCAATAAAAAAATTTGATTTGTATAATTTTTAAAATAAATATTATAAAAGTCAACAAACTTATTTATTTATTTTTTTGAATTATAATTAGATTAAGGTATATAGTTGTTTTACATTACCAGTGAATTACCATTAACCATGAAACCCTATAAAATAAAGTTCCCCTTTACTAGTATGAAATTTCATTTTGTATATTAGACCAAAGCTGAAAGAGCATATGCAGTACTGTGTGGAACATCCAGAGGAGGTTAGCAAACTTGCAAAAGTGAAAGCTCAAGTTTCTGAAGTAAAAGAAGTTATGATGGAAAACATTGAGAAGGTATAGTACCACTATATTTATGGAAAAATGTTAACTTCTTTTTTACACAGTCTTCTCACATTGTTAATTACCTAGAAAAACGTACTAATTGGAATTAATCCGGTAATTCAATTGGTGGCGGTTTTTAACCGCCAGAAACTGCCAAAATAATCGCCACAAATCACACATTTTTTTGTAGTGTACTTTGATCAAGATTATATAATTGACATGAGTGACATAGTTTAATCAACTTGTTTAGATTCAAGTAATCTCCTGGCCATAACTCTAGTGGTTGGGCCTTCAGCCCATGCTCTTCCATCATACTTGTATCTTTATTTAAGGATAGAGGAACTCAATCTGGTTGGATTGAGAATTAGACGTAGTCTCGGTGGTTGAGATGAACCAGTATAAAAATAGTCAGTGTTCCATCTAACAGTTCTTCTTGCTTCATTTGACTAACGGTACTACTTCACTGCAGAAAATGTATGAGTATTTGATATACATTATTCAAGCCCCCTTCTGGTGTTTATCTTTTCTCCACAACTATTATTCTTGTTCATTTTTTGTTACATCGTTGGACTTCTTTTTATACATTAGAAAAATTAAATAACCAAATTAAAATCTAATATGGACAACACATACTCTATCAACTAAAACTAATTGATCTAAATAAAAAGGACACTCATTCCATTCTGCTGAGTTCGAGACACGATTTGAATTTCTTTGTCTTTACCATGCCATATCCATGTTGTATAACTGGTTAGAAATCCATCACAAATAAGATGGTCTTGTATTTCATCGGTTGCATGTCGTCTTCCATTAAACAGTAAACACACGAATAATAAAACTTTCCATTCAAACCCACTTGATTTTTTTGAGTGAATTCCAAAAACTATTCAACACCATTTTAATACTCATCAGTGATTCTTCTTACATTCATCTAATTACGGTCCATTTCTTCTCTTCTTTAATACACAAATTCATCATGCATGTAAAGCTCACTTTTTTTTTATCAAACATGGTTGTAAGGCTTACCTAGACAAAATATACTTAATTTCTCTCATTAATTTAACATATAAAGCGCATCTCATTTCATCAACTAGACCAAGAAATTCATATCATGAGACATGTAACACTGCTTTGCAATTAAGGATAATTAGATACACACTATATCACAACATTTTACGCATCCATAAGTTTAAGAATAAGACAAGATACACACTAAAATTTGCAAGTAACAAAAAAACTCAAAGACAAGATAAAAATAGCAAACAAGAATTACCTAGGCCAAAAAACCTTTTAATGATGAGCTAGTGACCAAACCTAATCTTGGAACATCCAGAGGAGGTTAGCAAACTTGCAAAAGTGAAAGCTCAAGTTTCTGAAGTAAAAGAAGTTATGATGGAAAACATTGAGAAGGTATAGTACCACTATATTTATGGAAAAATGTTAACTTCTTTTTTACACAGTCTTCTCACATTGTTAATTACCTAGAAAAACGTACTAATTGGAATTAATTCATTGATAATATAAAATTAAGGAAATTTCCAGATACTGGATTCTTTTGTTTTAAATAATTGTGTGCGTGAGAAATGTGTGACAAAAAAGTTCTTGAGAAATAACACTACGTTTTCCATGAAGTTGTGGTTTTTTTAATAATTATCTCCTGCATTTTCTATTTTTCTTTTTAACGTCCGAGACTCCTCTGTCTTTAATTTTTGGGGGAAATTTGAGGGTGTCAAAGGAAAAGTTAATTGGTTTATCTCCCTCTTTCTTCACAAAACAATTGAATGAGGTTACTGAAATTTCATATGAATGTGGCCAATCACTGTATTATATCTTATGTGCAGGTTCTTGACAGGGGAGAGAAGATTGAGGTTTTAGTGGACAAAACAGAGAATCTTCGCTATCAGGTTAGATCATTTTTATTGTATTCACATAAATTGTTAGGGAAATTGAACTAGGAGAATGATGGAGCAGATGTTGCAGAGTATTTGGCTTATTAATATTAAATGAGAATCATTGTTGAAAAAAAAAACTTTTTTTATACATAGTGAAACGCATTAAAACAATACTATGATAGATCGAAAATAATCACATAATTTACTAAAGTAATTCGATTCTTCACGCTTACATCCACAAAGATCTTTATTATATATTTCAAAATGTATTACATATATCTTGAAGAAAAAAAATTTAAGTTTTGTGGGTTAAATTTTAAAATCTTTCCTCACAAGTTGTCTAGATGCAACTTGGAAACCATCAACATAAGTTTTGTGGGTGAAGTTTGGTAAACCCTCCTCATATGGTCTTTTCTTTCATTTAAGATAGTGACCTCCTTTATAGTTTATATAATTCTTCTCATCTCAAAAGTCTTTATTTATTGACTTAACATTTTAATCTTAAAAGGAGAAACAGATCTCTAAAATAAATACAACATATTTTAATTCTACAAAATATATTTTAAAATCTAAATATTATCTTAGAGATTTGAATTTGAAAATTTGAATTATCTTTCTAACAAAATGAGATGATGCTTAAATTTAGACTTATTATATTTCAGTAGTATTCTAAAATTGGGATATATATATATATATATAAGGAGAGATCCAGCTACTCAATAATTCATATTCAATATAAAATTTATTGATCCAATTATTAAATTAAAAATTCTCAATGCATAAATCAAGTTGACAAATTTTTAAAAAAAAATTTAAAAATCGTATGATACTTCATTATATAAATTCAAATCGAAGTAAAAAATATTTTTATAATTATCTATCAATTTGAATTAATAAAATAAAGTATTTAATAATTTTTAAAATTTTTTAAAAATTTATAAACTTAATCTATGTATTATAACTTGATTACATCAATTAATAATATAAGCAAACTAGTATATATGTGAAGACAACCTTCACCTCACAAAGTTAGGTTAAGCCCAAGTCTAAATCACCTTCCAAGTCTTTTTTGTCACTTATCAAGCATATTGATGTTGAAACTCCAATGAGGATTGTAATAAGATTTTTAGTTTGCATGGTTTTATAGGCACAAGATTTCAGGCAGCAAGGAACCCAGTTGAGGAGAAAGATGTGGTATCAGAACATGAAAATCAAGCTAATAGTTTTTGCTATCATAATTGCCTTGATTCTCATTATTGTTCTTTCTGTGTGTCACGGCTTCAATTGTGGTGGATGATTCTCCTTTATCAAGAACTGTAGCTTCATGGGATTGTTTTTCTTTTTGTTCTTTTTTTTTTTTTTTTTTTTTAATTTAACACTGCGTTTGCATAAAACGAACATCAAATATTTGTTTATTCTCAAAGAAAAATGCAAGAATGGAAAATTGGTGCATACTACAGTACTTTAGCCATTTTTCATTTCTCTAGCATCTATATGGATTTTGGATAATTGTATAAATTTGGTAATTCTTTACTATAATAAATCAATTCAACCTAGAACAATGTCATAATTGGCAGTTTTATTTTTCCCTCCCTTTCGACATTTTTTTTCTACAAATGATAGTCATTTTCAATGATGTTTGTCCCGTTATAATTAGCATGTTGATTTATATTATTTTTTTTATTTTGTTTCAAAATTAATTGGCACTCTCTCTCTAATATTAAAATAATTTTGTTGTGCATCGAGGGCTGGTTTATGATTCGGTATATTAACATCTAATAATTGTCATATAAATCATGATAAAAAATCAATTCGAACAACCAAATGGATAAAACAAAATGCTCAGCTGATGTCTTTCAAAAGAAAATTGTTAAGGATGGCTTTTCAATGGGGATTAGTCTTTTAACATCCCAGTTTTTCTAAATTAAATAATATGCTATATAGTTTTAATTAAATAATTATAAAAATATGTGGGCTTTAAAACAAATGAATTTTCATAATTAAAGAGATTTTAGAAAATAAAAAGGGTTTAAGTAAAATATTGTTTTAAGAAGCTTGAGTTTTTTTCCTAGTAAACCAAGAAGCACTCTTTTTAAGAAACCTTTAGATTCTAAACCTAATTTAGTTGTTTTCTTTCTTGGTTCTGGAAACTTTTGTGTCATTAAAGTTGTTGCGTCGGAGAACAAAGAACTCTAAAAACATGGTTGCGTCTCTCCAAATCTCTTGTCAAGTTTTTCGTTTTTCAAGTAAAGAGAGAGTGAGATTGTTTCACTCACAAGTGTGACTTGGGTTTCAGCTATAGGTGATTACCTTAGACACCAATTGGTTTCTATCGCATGATTGAGTATGAGGGGAATGTGACGTTTCCCAAGTCCTTTATTTTGTATGATGGTTAATTTATTGATTGAATTGTATGTTAGCGTATTCCTTTGAAATTTGGTGTGTTGCGATGTTTCTTGTATGTTAGTGTATTCCTTTGAAAATTGGTATGTTAGATTATTGGATATTTTAGTGTTGTTGAATATGTCTTAGTGATGAAATAGGCATTGCCAAGGGTCCTACTACTACAGTTATGGCTAAGAGGATCTAGGTAGGGGTGTGCAAAAAATCCAAATTGATCCGAACCGATCCATAACCGAACCGATCCATATTGAAAAATCCGATCCATTTTGAAAAAAAATCCGAACCGAACCACTTTATAAACCCGGTTCAGTTATCCGATCCATTTTTACAAAGTGGATCGGTTCGGTTCGGTTTGGTTTTCTAAAAAAACCGATCCATATGTGAGTAAAAAAGTGGATAACTGCACCGCACCGAACCGATCCAATTTCAAAAAAACCGATCCATATTTTAGAAAAACCAAACCGATCCACTTTATAAAAAATGGATCAGTTAACCGATCCACTTTTATAAAACAGTTCGGTTCGGTTTGGATCGGTTTTTTCAAAAAACCGATCCATGAACACCCCTAATTCTTGTAGAGAAGAGGCAGGTGTTAAACACACCTCCACTCTCGTATCAACACACCCCCTTTTTTAAAAAACATATATAAAATATCTAAATTACCCTTTAAAAAAAATGAAATTCCTAAATTTACCCGCACCCCCTTATCCTGTATAAGCATGTAAACTTTAGAATCTGGAACGACACCAGAACGGGCCGTTCTGCAAGAAGAACGGCCCGTTCTGCTTTCGGAACGGCC